CTTGTACAGTAACTCTAGGTGTGCTGTCGAGCTCTAAGACAAGCTCTAAGTCAAGCTCTAAGATGAGCTCATGAAATCACCTCAAAGCTTTATCAAGGGCACAAGAAAAATCCTAATGACAAACAGAAAGGATCTTTGAGAACCCAGGGAGTCTTCTTATTGTTTAGTTACAGAAGAACCTCCTTATTATTATCTTAATTGAAAAGGAATAAAAAACAAGGTCAAGTTCTTTTGCTTTGGTATGAGTAGCTCTTTAAGGGCTTATTAATACATCGTTTGAATGCTACCTCAAATATGTTTCCTCTTTCCCCTCGGAAACATTCAGTTGCTCAGGCCCTGAGTCTGGGGGTCAGTTTGGATTCTGTACTCTTCCTTGTCCCCCAAGTCCTGGAAGTGGGTATCTAATCTCCCCAAGTTCCCCACAGTCTCTGTCCCCACTATTGCCACCCCAGGCCAAGCTGCATCTCTTGCTTTCTGCACAATCACACTACTGGCCATGCTGATTCTCCCAGCCTCCATTCCTTTCCCTTCCAGTCCATTGTCCTCACTGCAGCCAGAATGAGCTTTCCAAAGTACAATTCTGAAATTTGACCCATTTAAAACACTCTTCAGAAGACCCCATCATTCTTAAAATGAAGCTTAAGTGCCATCCAGATGTTTTGTGTGGTTCTTTGTGACCTTGTCCCTGTTTTTTGCCTTGGGTGTCTTTCTGAGAGCCTCTTACCCCAGATGTTGCAAGGATTTCAGATTCTTATACCATCTGGCTTTCTCTCAGCAAACACCTTTCTCATTGGCTAGCTGCCACTCTTTCCATAAAGTCTGATCTTTTCCAGGATAGGTCCCACTCTTGCTTCTCTGCTTCACCTGGAGTTACCTCAGAAAAGCCTTTCCTCATTTTCTCCAAATCATGTTGTCATGTTCCCCCGACATGTTGTCAGAGCATTATTATTTCAGCATTTATCACACTCTTGTAAAAATCTGTTTTCTTATGTTCCCTGCCCCCTCCCCACCACAAGTCTATGAGTTCATGGAGGCAAAAACCTTCAGTGTTTGTCTGCCTGTATCTCTTGGCACTGTAGTTCTAGCATGGATGGGTGGATAGACAAATGAATGATGGGAATGCTAACAAACAAGTAATAATATCACTAATGACTAACAAAATGCGGTTCTATTATAAAAACTTTAATAGGGCCCTATGTTATAAAGGAAGGGATAATTTATTACTGGGACAAATCGGGTACATCAGAAAATGGAATCCAAGTAGATTCCAAAAGGGAAACGTTGGATAACTGTCTTTTTTCATTTGAAAATGATACACACTTTTAAAAGAACATTTAGGAAATTATCCTGAGTAGAAAAATTTTAAATCGCCTATGGTTCCATGCCCAAACACAAAATGTATTACAATTTTGGTACATATTTTTCTGATCAAAGTGACTATGGCTAAAATTTGAGACTCACAAATTCTCACAGTAACCCACTGGGGTTCAGCACCTGGCTCCAGGTCACAGAACCAGCTTGACATTAGAGCCAGGTTATAGGCCAGATGTCCTGGGTTCAAAGCCCTCACTATGCCCTTTCTGGTTGTTCTAAATGATAGCCAACTACACATTTTGTGTGGAGGAAATGTATTTTAATAATGCTTAATTAATGTTATTATGTCTTTTACAGAATGATTTTTAGCAGTTTACCAAATTTCCTTTTATTATTGCACATAATTAATGAAAACCCTCTGACAGAGCCATCCGGAGACCCATTGCTGACAACTGCCCTTTGGCCTTATTGCCTTGCAGGTAATTGGCAGCTGGGGAGTGTCCTAGTATGAGACTTCTTGACCAGGCACAAATAAAACACACAAATGAAATCCATCCCACAGAGAATTTTGTGACTTGCTGTTCAAAGTGTTAGATGCACAGAGTTTCTCAAAATTGCCATTTCTGGCACAGGAAGTGATTTCTGAAGTGGTTCTCAGAGGGCATGAAAATCAACATATTTTTAAATTCAGACAGGTGGCAACTAAATCTTGCCCTTCATTTCCACCTCTTGGGAAAAAAAAAAACAGTTTCCTTTCTTCTTACCTCCATCAAGGAAGGTAAGTATTGAACTCAGCAGTTTTACATACTGTGATATTATGTATGTAGCAAGAATGTTGCTAGAAATCAGTGGTTTTCTCATTTTTAAAGTTTATAAATTTGGATTTCTGGGACAATTTAATCCAGATTATGGGTGACTGTAAAGGTCAAATCCTTTTATGACTTCGAATTTAAGCATATAAGCATGACTGATTCCTTTGCTTCTTTATCGTTATTAGCATACAAATAGTAACAAAGGGGTAGGGAGTGAGGAAAAAAGGGAGGGAAAAGGAAGAGAAGAGAAAGAGAAAGAGGAGGAGGAAGAGGAGATAGGAAAGGAGAATGAGAGGGAGAGACACAGAGAGGGAGACACACACACAGAATAGCAAGATGGAACTTCAGAAGTTCCTAAAGTTCCTGAAGTTGAGGTAGGAGCCAGTTGGCTGTTTGATGAGAACCTGAATGTCTCCAACTGCTTAAGTCAGGTGGAGGCAGAGAGACATCCATGGCCCTAAGGAGCACATAGACCTTTCATAATTCAAGCAAGGCTGGCTTTCTCAATTAGCCCTCAGTATGTGTAACTACTAGCAGAGAAAGAGGTGTTGAAATTTTTATATGATCCTAGGAGCCTCTCAGGAGGAAAGGCAGACTCGGTATTTCTGAAGTTCAACATTAGCATTTTTCTGATGGGCAAGAAAGGACATGAAGGAACTCCAAAAGGAAATAGTGTTGGGGGAAGCGCAGGGCGATACTGGGGCCTAAGAATGGTGAGGGAAGACTAGCTCATCTCAGAGTGTGCAGAGGAGGAGTAGCCTGTGACCCCGCAGTCTTAGTCTTGCTCCAAGCTGTGCTCCACAATGAACTGATGAGTCATCATTTTGGGAGCCTGCACTGGGCACCACTGTGGCCTTGGCTGAAATCCCAGGGTGTCTCAGACTGCAGGGGCAGTTTTCCAAAGTGAAGTGTTGATTATTAAAAAGCTGGGGTGGCCCTGGCTGATGTGGCTCAGTGGATTAAGTGCCAGCCTGTAAACTAAAGGGTCACTGGTTCAATTTTCAGTTGGGACACATGCCTGAGTTTTGGGCCAGGCCCCCAGTAGGGGATGTGCAAGAGGCAACCACACACTGATGTTTCTCTCTCTCTTTTTCTCCCTCCCTTGCCCTCTCTCTAAAAAGTAAATAAATAAAATCTTGAAAAAAACAAAGCATGAATATTTATTAAAGCCTACCTTTAATAAAACCTCTAAGATAATAATATAAGGATCTTTCTTTACTTGCTCCTAGCATATATTATTTCTGTCAGGTATTTGAATTCTATATATATGTAAAAGCCTGTGAGTCATTACTATTTCACGCAATCAATGTTGATTTATTTACACTTGTTCAAATATTTACTACTGTCTTCATTTTTCATTCCTTCTGACATCTCAAATCTTCCATCTGGGATCATTTATTTTCTGCCCAAAGTATTATCTTTAAAATTGCATTTAGACAGTATCTTCTGGTGACAAACTTCATGTTTACTTATCTGAAAATGTCTTCAGTTTACCCTGTATCTTAGAAGTTGTTCTGAAGCCTGGCTGGGTGGGTCAGTTGGTTGGAGCGTTGTCCTGTATACCATGAGATTGTGGGTTCAATCCCCAGTCAGGGGGATAGGGGAGGCAACCAATCGATGTTTCCTTCTCACATTGATATTTCTCTCTCTCTCTAAAATCAATTTTTAAAAAATCCTTGGGTGAGGATAAAAAAAAAGTTGGGAATTCTAATTTAGCAATTTTCCTTTTAACACTTGAAGATGCCATTATACACTCTTCTAGCTTTTCACATTTCTAACTGCTATTCTTTCCAAGATAACAGTCCATCCCCACTTCTTCACTGCCTGGCTGCCTTGAATATTTTTTGTCTTTACTCTTTCTTTGTTTTGCAGTTTTATTATAATGCATCCATTGTTCAAATTTAACAATGGGTAGCATTGTAATCTTCCTAGGTATAAGTAATCACAAAATGTGCCAGGAAAATATTAACTGACGCCAGAGAGACAGGTTTTATGGGTTTTACCTATTTCAGCTGGAAAAGAATGGGAGGTGTGCAGCCTAATTTTATTGAAGCCTTGTGGCTCAGTAAGAGCCCTCCGTTGAAAATGCTGAGAGTGTATCGTTGCTGACTGCCTACTTTCCTTGCTAGAGGTAGACACCTTTCTCTGTATTTTGGATCATTCCCTAAGAAGGACGTGCATCCAAAGTCAGTGAAAGCCTGATGAGTCACCCAGGTCGTGCTAGGCCATTATTACTAGAAGCTTCTGCCAGATAGATTCCCCGCCTTCTGTGTGCCCTCTTCCTGTATTTAAGCAAGTCTTTCTGTCACTCCCAGTGTCCTGCACTGTGCCATAAGGACTGTGGTAGGTTGAGGGATCTGCCTGGGCTCTTAGGCACAGCTGTGAGATTCACAGCTATGTGCTGAGACATGATTACTTCTTGGGATTTAGGGAGCTCCGAGGGCATAAAGAGCTAAAAGCCTTTACAAATAGTAGAACTTCCTAAGTATTTTCTTCTCTTTTCTGAATATTTGCAGCTCACAAAATTGGAAATCTGGCACAGTAGTGAAGTCTTTCTTAGACTTGCTAGCTCTTCCTTAAAATTAAAATATATATGTAAATATTTAGGAAACTAAAACATTCATATTTTAAAAACAAACTTCCCCCTCCTAGTGCAATTTTCTTGCCTGCAGCATTGCTTAGTTGCCAGTGTTTAGATGTATTGCACCGTTTCTTCCAATGTATTAGTTGGAGGTTCGGTTAATGGAAGGAGGCTTCTCATGCTTGGATGACATCACTTACCCACTTCTTTCTCTTTTTAAAATAGGGGTTGGAGCAGTAAATGCAGTCAACAGATTTAAAAGGAAATCTGGTCACTCTTCTGTGTGCACAGACGGATCTGAGGCTTTTCTCCACAGAGGTACTGAATTTGGCATTGGCCAACAAGTCACCGAGACCAGCGCATCTGCACCATCTCCTGACAGCATGGAAAATATAGGCAAAGCTGGGACAGCCAGGTACGTTGTTCTGTGTGACACCTAGTTCTTCCCAACCCCAGGTACTCTGACACCCTGCTTTTTTAAGGTCATCTTGTTAGACTCAAAGGCATTTCACCCAGAAGGCTCATTTGGTGTCTATTGCCCCTAGTGCAAAGCATTGTAAATGTCAGTAATCAATTACTTTGTAAAATGCTATTGCATTGTTAGTGACTTTAAAGTGAACTTGTAAATCCACAACTTGGCCGAGGCCCTTGTGTGGTTGAGGAGAGGAGAAGGTGAGAACAGTTTACCCACCAAAGTGGAGAAGAGGTTCTTCTCCCTGACTCTTAATGCTCAGCTCTGCAGATGCGTTCTCCACATCCTGTCACTTAGTGGTCCACCTGCATACTGATGCTGAGAATATGGGAAAGGGGTGAAGTAGGGAAGTAGCTTTTAGGATCCACAGGATTTGTGTTCCAATGCCTGATTGTCACCAACTGGCTGGGTGACCTTGGGCCAGGAACTGCATGTCTCTGCATCTCAGTCTCTTCAACTGTCAAATCAGTTATAATAGATAACATGCATTTTGCTTGTTGGTACCTAAAACTGTACTAAGCATCTTTGATACGTTTACTCCAAGTATAGGGAAGACACTATTATTATCTTCATTTTATAGGTGAGGACATCAAGACTCGAGTAAAGCACTTGAGTCATTTGCCTAGTGTTACACTGACAGGATGCAGCTGGGAATTGAACCTGGGTGTCTCAGTTTCCATATTCTTTCTCACTCTGTTGTGATAGTGCATTAAATGATTTCTCTGCTTACTTTCCACTCTCAAGTTTTAGAATGCTACTACTTACCCTAAAAATAAAGACAAGATAAAGAAAAATCAAGTTCAGGCAGAAGGCTTCTACCCTGAAGACTGGCTGCCCTAGGCATGGCAGGTTTTATTGGTCTTTGATTCTTTCTCTCGGTGGAGAGAAGAGGTTGGGTGGATGGGGAGATAGGGAAGAACCTGAAAGTGAGAGCAGTTCTACAAACTGCCTGGGCTCCGCAGCAATGGACATTGCCTCCCAAGGCTCTGCCTTTGCATGCAGTTTTCGCCACGGGTTCACCCTGTGGTATAAGCATTCCATTAGGATGGGTCCTGAGGATCTGCTGAGACTGACACCACTCTGAACAAGTGAAAGGCAGCTCCTACCCCCATCTCCAGCCCAAAGGAAGACGGTTTTACCTTGAAACTAAGGATCAAAAGTTCTTCACCTAATTTTGTATTTAAAACTTTGTGTATGCTTCCACTCCTACAAATTGCATGGGCTTCAGGTCCTGCAACACCTGTACCCGCTCTTGTTCTCACACATTTTGGATTATTAGAATGCAAATAATTTACATAGGTTGAAGTGTGGCTTCTTACTTTGAAAATATGAATTGTTTGAATAAATATTGAATTCCAATAATTATTCTAGATTCTTTAGTAGTCAAAAAAATTGAAATTCAGAAAAGTCATCCATTTGCTATGTGGGTTTTACCAAATTGTGGTAGCCTCTATGGAAGATGTTTTGCTCTTTGAAAAATGACTCTAGCATTTTTTCAAGAAAATGGTAGAGAAATTTTCATTTAGGGCTGATTGATGAGTTTCTTCAAAGTAGGGTTGGTTGGTGGCAACATAGCGCCAAGTATGAATATTCTTCTTCAAAAGAAAAAGTTAAAATTAGTTCTTTTTACTTTTAACTTTAAATCGGCTATTATTAACGTAAGCGTCCAACTAGAAAGCAAGGAGTTTTTCTTCAAAAATTATCATTCCCTCACAGAAATGTTAACTTGTGCTTATGTTTGTGTAGTCTCTCATATTACTAGCGTTCTCTAAATTATTGATTATGAAGAACCAAGTCCTCTTTAGAGAAAAGATGTTAACCTGAAAAGATCTCAATCAGCATCAGTTTCGAATGCTTACAGAGATCATTTCACAGAATGGTACTTTAAAAAAAAAAGAGGCAAAACATTTCATCATTATACTAGGGTTGATGATCTCACATTTGGAAAGATTATATATTTTTGTAAGCAATTTAATTATCGATTTGAAAACTTTATAGAAGTATTTAAATCATAGAGAACAAAGTATGTTCATACAGGATTCATCTTTAAAACAGAAATGACCTAATACTAGGTGAGTATGTACTTGGACCTTTGGGGTGAAATTTTCAGCAGCAACATTTTGTGCAAATGCAAAAAGTTCCATTCATCTAATATTGCAAAGGGAGGGAGTGAAAGTTACCTACTCTGCAGATGACAACCTGCAGATGACTTGAAAATGGCTCAGTGGTCGTGAAGACACTGAGATAAACTGTTTAGATAAAACTATTCCCTGAATTGTGAAAAAGGCAATTTCTGAATTAATATTTTTATCACTTTAAGTGTGCATATTAAATGTACTTACTAAATGTTATATATAGACATTCTTGACTATTTCACCTGCATCCCTAAAAGTTTACATAGTCAGTTGTCAAAAACAAATCATAAAACCCTTTTGGGGGCCTTTCTTATTGGAAAAATTGGCAATCACTTTATAGTTGAACATATTCTCCTTATAACTAATAAGAGTTTTCATTAAAACATATATAATTCAGATTGAACAAATTAATGAATATACAGAATCTTAAATATGTTTTTATTTTTCCCCAGGGATGAAAAAGTTGTGAACTGCTTATACCCAAAGCCTGATGCAATTTTTAGGCTGATTTGCTTTCCCTGGGCAGGAGGTGGCTCCTTTTATTTTGCCAAATGGGGCGAAAAGATGCCTGACTCAGTGGAAGGTATGTTAACTTTTATCACTATCAAGGTGATTTACAATGTCAGATGATACACACAGAGGAATTTGAAACATGGTAAAGATTTTCCATATTGGAAGGTAAATAACAATAGTCATTCAAGATTGCACTCTAGCCCTGGCTCGTGTGCCTTGGTTGGAGTGTCATCCTATAACTGAAAGGTTGTGAGTTCAACCTGCCCTGGTCAGGGCACATACCTAGGATGCAGGTTCGATCCCCAGTCAGGGCAGGTGATGATCCCAGGTGCAGGTGCATAGGGGAGGCAACCAATCAATGTTTCTCTTTCACATTAATGTTTCCTTTTTCTCTAAACACAATAAGAAATGTCATTGGGTGAGGACTTTAAAAAAAGATTGCATTCCAATAATATGATTTTTATATTTCTAAAATAAGAAATTTGGCTACCTTTATTCTGTTATTATTAGACCTAGAAGAACTTTTTAGGAAATGGCATTCTAACCTGCACTTGTTTTTAATGTGCTTACTGATATGGTTATACTTAATACACCATCTTACAAGTGTTTTCAATTTGTCCCGTCTGTGATTTGTTCCATTTTCCCTGTTGACTCCTTTTCTTTTGAATGGATGTAACATTAAAAAACATTTTCTGTGCACCTCCTCTATTGCCTTATTGGCCATGTTTCTCTCTAATTGTTTTAGTGGTGGCTCCAGAATTCACAATATAAATCTTTTACTTCTCACTGTCTGTCTTCAAATAACATTATTCTTTGTTAAACTTATTCCTAAGCATTTAATTGTTTTTTGATGCTATTGTAAATGGAGTTGTTTTCTTAATGTCTTTTTTGGATATACATTGTTAGCCTGTAGAAACACAACTAATTTTAGTACGTTAATTTTGTATCTTGCAACTTTACTCAATTTGTTTATTAGTTCTAACCATTTTTTTTTGGTGGATTCTTTAGGGATTTCTCTATATAAAATCATGTTGTCTACAAACAGAGACATTTTTACTTCTTTCTTTCTGATTTCAATGCCTTTTATTTCTTTATCCTGCCTAATTGCTCTGGCTAGGGCTCCAGCACTGTGCTGAATAGAAGTGGTGACAGGGGGCATCCTTGTCTTGTTCCTGATCTTAGAAGAAAAGCTTTCAGCTTTTTACCATTGAGTGTGATGTTAGCTGTGGCCTTGTCATTTACGGCCTTTATCACATTGAAGTACATTCTTCTATGTATACCAAATTTGTAGAGAGTCTTTATCATGAAAGGAAGTCACACACTTTTGATTCATCTATTGAAATGATCATATGATGTTTATCCTTTATTCTGTTACATCGATGTACCACATTTGCTGATTCCTGTATGTGGAACCATCATTGCAGCCCAGGTATGGTGTCCTTTGGCCTGGCGCATGACTCTTTTAGCATGTTGTTCTGTTTCATGTAACATTTAAGAACCTTAAAATCCACACTTCCATTCTCATTCCTGTCCTTTTGCCATTACTGTCACACATTTTACCTTTACAGGAAATTTTTATTATTTTTACTTTGAATAGTTTTATTTATTTGTTTGTTTGTTTGTTTGTTTAGAATTCTATTTATTTAAAAAATAAATTTGAAAAAAGAAAGGGGAACAGAAGGAGAAAGAGAGGGAGAGAAACATCAGTGTGTGGTTGCCTCTCACATGCCCCCCACTGGGGACCTGGCCTGCAACCCAGGCATGTGCCCTGACTGGGAATCAACTGGAGGCCCTTTGGTTCACAGGCCTGCACTCAATCCACTGAGCCACACCAGCCAGGGCTGAATAGTTATATTTTTAAATGTTCAAATGAGAAAAAAATCTTTTATATTTATTCACATTTCTATAATTTTTGGCACTTTCTTCCTTTGTATAGTTTGAGTTTTTATCTGAAGTCATTTTCCTTCAGTTTGAAGGAAACGTTTTTGTAGCATGTCTGCTGATAACAAATTCTCTCAGGAGACTGAAATTTTCTGTATTTTTGCTCTCACATTTGAAAGCTATATAATTTGGATATTCTTTTCTAGGTTGGCATTTTTCATCACTCAGAAGATGACATAATAGTGTTCTCTGACCTGCGTTATTTTCTAGAAGAAGTCAGCAATGTTGATTATCTTTATATGCAATTGTCTTCTTTTCTCTAGCTGATTTTAATGCTGTCTCTTTACTACTCAAAAAAGTTTATTATGTGCCTGTTGAGTTTGGGGGCAGAGATCTGTGGATTTATAATTGTTATTAAATTTGGAAAATTTTCTAGCCATTATATCTTGGAAAATCTCTTTTCTACATCTCCCCTTTCTGAATTTCTTGGAATCTGTTTAAACATATGTTATACCACTTGGTTTTGCCCAACAGCACACTGAAACTCTGTTGATTTCTTTAAGCCACTTTTCTTTCTGTGCTTCCCTTTGAATCTATTGCCCTGTCCTTCCTAGGATCTTTCTTGTTTGTGGGTTGTAAACTTGAATTTTTTCTCATAGCATTGTGAAACTCAGTTAAACACCATTCTTCTTTTCAATAATTTTCTGCTTATATTTTCTTAGTCCCTTGATATACCTAATTTAAGAATAAACCAAATGCCTTAAGGGAGAATGCACAGGACTTCTTTGTCTGAGATCATGGGCTTTTACTTTCTCGCTGCTTTTGCATCACTGTATTTCCATTTTTGTCTCGCTAGCGCTGTGAGAATGCAAAAAGCTCTATTGGCTTCTTGGTTTCTCAGAAGTAGCCTGGAGCCTAGAACTCTTGACCTGTGCCAAATATTGACACAGCTCCAGAATGAAAAAGACTCTGGAAGAATCTGTTCACCCCTCTAGAAATCTCTTCTCCCCAGGGTGCAAGTCCTGGGTGCATCAGTAGTTTACAGATGCTTTCAAACAGGGGTGTGTGTGTGTGTGTGTGTGTGTGTGTGTGTGTGTTTCATTCAATTTTCCATTTGTTCAGTAAGAGTGCTGGTCTGCTGGGAGCTACTTTTGAATAACCAAAAGCAAAAAACTGGTTATATAGAGTAATATAACAAAGCATAGTGTACCAACTACCTGCCTTTCAATATTACCATTTTTACATATCTGCTTCAATTTTTTTGTTTCCAATTAAATAAGGTTTCTATTTATTTTATTTTAAATACAATTTTTATTTACATTTTTTATGTTTTCCCCATTTACTTTTTTTCAATGACAGTTGACATTCCATATTATTTTATATTATTTTCAGGTGCACAGCATAGTGGTTGGATAATCAGACACTTTACAGAGTGGTCCCCTCATAGGCCTGGTGCCCACCTGGCACGATTACATAGTCATTACAATATTATTGACTGTCTTCCCTGTGCTGTACTCTACATCCCCATGGCTATTTTGTGACTACCACATTGTACTTCTTAATAAAACACAATTTTTTAAAATTATTTTAGATGTACAAGAAAGTTGCAAAGACAGTACAGAGCCTCATGTACTCACCCCCCAGTTTCCCCTGTTGTTGACATCTAATGTTGTTACGGAGCATTTGTCACAACTAAGAAACCACATTGGCACATGGCTATTAACAACTCCACAGTGGATTCAGACTTCACTCCTATTTCCCTACTGTCTGTTTCTTGTCCCATTTAGGGCACCACATTGTTCCGTTGTCCTCCTGTCTCCTTTGCCTCCTCTAGTGTTTGGCAGTTTCTCAGACTTGCCTGTTTTCGGTACCTTGACAGTTTTGAGTAGTACAGGTCAGGTACTGTGTAGCATGTCTCTCCATTTGGATTTTCCTCATGTCTTTCTCACGGTTAGACTAAGATTATTGGTTTCGGGGAGGAAGACCATAGAGGTAAAGTGCCATCTTCATTACATCTGTCAGGGCTGGGCACTATTACCCCAACGTATCACAGATGGTGGTAAACTCAATTATCTGGCTGAGCTGTGTTTGCCAGGTTTCTCCACTGTTAGGTGACATTTCTCCTCCCTCCATAACCTGCTGTTTGGAAGCAAGCCTCAAGTGCTAAGGAGTTAACAACTGTGACTAAACAACAATAAAAAAAAAAAAGAAAGTGGCAAAGAACAGCCTATACACATAACCCTGCAAATGTATGTGAGTTTATGAAATAAATTCAAAAAGTAAAACAAAATAACAACAAAAGAGAGATAAGGAGTTAAGCTCCAATATCCTGAGGAGGAAGTAGACACATAAATCATTTGGAGCTTTGTTTCAGATATTTCTAGGAAAGAAGCTTTGAAATTCTTATGTGCCCTTTCTACTCCCATTCCTTTCTTTTCAGTTAGAAGATATGTGCAATACAAGGCATTTATTTCTTTGCTTACATTTTGCAGCTTAAATAGAGTAAAAACCAAATGGGAGGCAGGTTCTTTGCCTTTATAACACTGTGACTGGTCCACAGTCACACTTACTAGCTCTTAAAAGCTAGGAAGTCTTATACAATTACACATTTACTTTTAGTCTTAGTCATGATAGCTTTTTCTGTTGTAAAGTGAAATGTTTGGACTGAGCCGGTTTCCTAAGCTTCTACCAGCTCCAACCTCCTCTAGTCTTCAGGAGCCAATAGCCTTTGTTTGACTTGTTTGAAAGTCAGCTGTAGAAATAGCACCTTCAGTGATATTTCCCAAAGTCTGTGAACATGTGGGAACAGAACTCTTAACCATAGTATCATTTTTAGTGACAAACAAATACACCATAACCTCCCTCCCAAAGCCCTGGAAAACTATCAACATCTATGAATAGAAAATTAGTTACTTACAGAACAGAGCTACGAATGGATATGATGCCACTTAAGAAGAATGAGTCAAGCCTGCATGTGTAGATATGGAAAACACTTCATTATATAATTAAGTGAGGAAAAAAGCTAGTTGTAGAACAGTGTTATGGTATTCTCCCATTTGTGTAAATCCCTAAAAAGACACACACACACACAGATTAATACAATGAGGAATATGCAGATAATAGTATGGGAAATACACAGAGACATGGCAGAATGCACAAAACCGGTAACAGTGGTTTCTTTTGAGGTGATGAAGCAGGACTGAGGAAGTAGAAACATTTTGCTTTGTATTTAATCCATTTTTATATTTGTGGGGATTTTTTTTCTTGTCACACACCTGCTTTACTTGGAAATGGAAACATTATTTTCTAAACTTCTACTGTGAAGAGGTAAGAACAGGAGGACTTCCTCCAGGTCCCAGCACTAGGCAGGACTATTTAAAAGAATTTTGGGAAAGGTAACTCCCTTGTCAACGGGAACCATTGTTGTTGTCAGTACAGCAAAGCCTGGCCTTCATGAGAGGCTGCGCACCAGGGCACAGTCACACACAGGCACTCTCTGAGGCTTCCTTTCCGCAGCAGTGTTTTATGCCTGCCCCTGCATCCACTGTCATTCCTCAGAAAGGTAGTCCTATGGTTTCTTGTGGGATTTTTTCCAGTCTTTTCGTATAATTGTGCTATATATATATACACACACACACACACACACTATATATATAATACAATTATATATACAATTATATAATTATATATTATATAAAATAACAACTATATACATAACTTTCCCAGTCTTTTTATATAATTGTTATATATAAATATATAATATACATTAAATATATAAATATACATAGATGTATAATATATAATATAAATATATCATATAGATTTAAACTATACATTAATATATATTATAACTATATTTTAAATATATATTACATATTTAAAATATATATTTTAAATGCATATATTAATATATATTATATTTTATAAATATATAAATGTGTACTTATAAATATACTTAAATATATATTTATATGTTTGTGCATGTTTTATAATATATAAATAATATAATATAAATACATAAATATATAATACATTTATATATGTTATATATTATATATTTATATTGTATATTTAATATGTTATATATGAAGAGACTGGGGAAATGACATCTAATTATATATAATTATTATTATTATTATATATAATTATATATTTGTTATAGCTATTTTGGAAAAAAATGTGAACACTTTCCTTCTTTTTCTAAGCTCTGGAGAGTTTATGTAACATTATGTCCTGTGAATGTTTAGAAGATTTTCCAAGACAATTATCTAGGCCTAGTGCCTTTTTATTTTCTTAATCCTCATCTAAGGACATGCTCATTCATTTTAGAGAAAGGGGAAGGGAGGGAGAGAAACATCAATAGGCTGCCTCTTGAATGGGACCAAGCCTGTAACCTAGACATGTGCCCTGACTGGGAATCAGGCCTGGGACCTTTCAGTTTCCAGGAAGATGCTCCAACCAACTGAGCCACACTGGCTAGGGCTAGTGCTTTTTTCACAAGAATACATGAACAACTTTTATTTCTTCTATGAAAATTATCTATTTAAATTTTCTATTTTTCCAGGGATCAGTTTTGGTAAATTACATTTTTTAAAGTATACAAATTACATGTAAATTTCCAAATATATTGTGTAGAGTATTGCCCTGTAGTCTCTTTTGATTTTCAAAAGTTTCCTTGAGTTTAAGGGTTACTTCCTCTTATTTTGTGTATTTTCACTTTCTCACTTTTTTCTTAATTAAATAGTTATAGCAATTTGCTTATTTTGCTGACATTTTGTCAAAGACCTGCATTTTTTATTTATTAGTTCTACTATTTTCCTGCTTTCTACCACATTAATTTATTTTTAATATTATTATTTCTGCCCTTGCTGGTGTGGCTCAATAGACTGAGAGACAGCTTGCAAACCAAAGGGTTGCCGATTCCATTCCCAGTCAGGGCACATGTCTGGGTTGCGGGCCAGGTCCCCAGTGGGAGGCACATGAAAGGCAACCACACATTGATGTTTCTCTCCCTCTCTTTCTCCCTTCTTTCCCCTCTCTCTAAAAACAAAACAAAATAAAATAAAATCTTTTTTTTTTATTTTTTAAAGATTTTATTTATTTATTTTTAGAGAGGGAAGGGAGGGAGAAAGAGACAGAGAGAAACATCAATGTGCAGTTGCTGGGGGCCGTGGCCTGCAACCCAGGCATGTGCCCTGACTGGGAATTGAACCTGCGATACTTTGGTTCGAAGCCCGCACTCAATCCACTGAGCTACGCCAGCCAGGGCAAATAAAATAAAATCTTAAAACCAATAACCCCCCCCAAACAATCCAGTTAAAAAATAGAAAAACAGAAAAAAGGAAAATGCAAATCAAAGCCACAGTGAGATATCACCTCATACCCGTTTGAATGGCCATCATTAAAAAAGGCAAGAGATAACAAGTGTTGATGAAGGTATGACAAAAGGGGAACCTTCATGCACTGTTGGTGGGATTGTAAATTGGTACAGTAACTATGGAAAACAGTATGGAGGTTCCTTAAAAAATTGAAAAATGGAACTCCCATACATGCCTTTGATCCAGGAATCCCACTTCTGGGTACATAAGTAAAGGGCACGAAATTGCGACCTCAGATAGTTGCACTCCAGAGTTCATTGCAGCATTCCTTACAAATAGCAGAGTTATGGAAACAACCTAAGTGTCAATCAACAGATAAATGAATAAAGTGGAACATTTTTCAAACATAAAAAGATAATCCTGCCATCTGCGACAACATGCATGCACCTTGAGAGCATTACGCTAAGTGAAATAAGTCAAAGGCAAAGACAAATACCATATGATCTCACTTACATGTGGAATCTAAAAGTCCAACTCCAGTACCACTGTGAGTTATTTTTCAGCTTCATTTTCCCCAGATCACCAAGAAATATAAATTTAGGCTTCAAAATTGTATAAATGCAAGGTTTTGGTTAGAAAAAACAAGGACAGACTTTTCCCCCATTCACAGCCAAGGTAAACACAGGAAGTTGTCTCCTTTTGCCATTATGAAGACTTTTTTTGTTTTCCCTATTCCGCTTGTCACTGGGAGGTTAGAGCTTAGAGGTTCCTGGCTTTGTTTGGAGGACTCCAGTTCTAGTTCACCCTCGAAACCTGATGTTTTGTTTTCCTGACATACCCAATAGACGTCAGAATAGCCATTCCATTAGCCCATGCTCACTCCCTGAATTTTCAGTTTCCTCTTTTTATTCTAGGCATTCCCTTTTACTTTGAGCTAAACTATACATGTAATTATATGTATGCTTCATCTAAAATTTCTAGGTGTTTTGTAGTAGAGAGTATTTTTTCAGATATTTAGTTCACTATTTTTATGCTATTGCTTTTTCTCAGCAAATTGTACATCCTTTTAATGTCACTAGATTTGACCATTAGTAGTCACCACTCATCCCTTTGAAATTATTCGTAGCATGTTAACATAAGCTCCTTTACAATATCACAGTATCTCACTCACTGTCCTCACACATTCACTGGTGTTTCTCAATCTCCAGTGCACTCCATACGGCTTGCCGGGAGAGAATGTCGATCTGAAGAACCTTTTGCCACTGACATCTACCAGATAGTTGAGGAAACTGTTCGTGCTCTGCTGCCAATCATCCAGAATAAGCCATTTGCATTTTTTGGCCACAGGTATTTAAAATCTGTTTTAAAAGGTGTTTCCTCAATCACAAGGTTGGTTAATGTTGTTCTGTGTGTATGTGAGATGTCCACCTTCTGCATTACACTGCTTCATCACTGCTTGAAGGAGTGATGGATTAAGTATGGTTATAGCTGTTCTCAGACAAGAAAGTCAGATAGACAGACATTGCGCAGTAGAGACCACAAAGAGGTGAACACCAGGCGGTATGATGAATTATGAAAATCATGGGCTCCTTGTGGCATCTTCTCCTTGGAAAATAGTCCCAGGATGGTGAATAATGGTGACCAGTTACAACTCTTACAATTGGCCAGTTTGTACAGTAATTATACCTTTAGACAAAAAATCAGGACTTGAAAAATCAAGATTATATATGCAGTAACTTATGTTCCACTTATTTTTAAATTCAAAAATTATATAAAAAGGGACTACATGATAATGGAAAAATATGTAATAAATATTACATATTTTTAAGTAAATAAAATAAATTATATAATAGTATGTGCTACATTGTATAATTTTAAGGTTATAACATGAACCCTGGAGTTTTGACTGCCTCTTAGTCAGTTTGACCTAGGACAGATTTCTTAGGTTTTTGAATTAATTTCTTCCTCTGTAAAGCTGGAATGATAACAGTTCCTTCTTGTGAGAATTCAATTAATAAAGATCATAAATTATTTGGTATATGGTAAGGGCTCACTAAATTTTGGCTACTATATCATATAATATTTGCAGATATAATCAGACAAAAATAAAAAGTATCCATCATCCTAGGAAGTGCTTTAAAATCCTGATTTGGCTCCATAATATTTTTGCAGGTGAGGTCCTGTTCTCTATCTGTTCCTGACCTTCTTTCACTTACTATTGCTCTGGAGGTCATTTTGCTTCATGACTTGTTTTATCAAGTGCCCTTTGTGAATATAGAATTACTTTTATATTTTTCTGTTATAAAAATACTTCAGTGAATATTTTTGTAGAAAAATTGGTATACATGTCATAAGCTTCTTAGAATAAATATCCAGAATTTAGGTTAAATGATATGCCCATTGTTAAAGCTCCTGATACGTATTTCTGAATCACCTGCCATTTACCCTTCATCAGCAATGGACATCTATAGCAGTCTTGTCTACAAATATATCTAATATCCACAGCAGTTAACAAACTTTTGGTTCGGTACTGCTTTAATACTTTTGAAAAGCATTGAGGACCATTTTTTTCTAGTCAAGATCGTGGCACAGGTAGACACAGCTCACCTCATCACACAATCACATCAAAATTACAACTAAAATTGGAACAACTATCACTCAGAACCATCAGAAATTGAACTGAATGGAAGTCTGACAACCACAGAATTAAAGAAACCACATCCATCCAGACTGGTAGCAAGCGCAAAGATGTGGAATGGGCTGTCCCACATTCACATGTAGTGGATAAAAATTCAGGAGGGATATCTCAGTAGTGAGCAGTCCCAGCCCCACACTAGGCCCCACAGCCCAGGGTTCCAGTCCCAGGAAGATAAGTCCCCACAACTTCTGGCTGCAAAAAACAGGGGGAATTGTGAGACTTTGGGCCAAGATGAAGGCATAGGTAGACACACTTCATCTCCTTGAACAACCAAAAGAAGGATAACAACCAATATAAAAACAAAAAACAACCAGAACTTCCAGAAAACCTAACTGTATGGAAGTCCAACAACCAAGGAGTTAAACAAAAAACATTCATCCAGACTGTTAGGAGGGGCAGACATAGGCACCAAGGGTGGAGAGGACACGCAGTGAGGTGGCAGCTGGTGGACTAGGCAGTCCCACATTCTTGTGCAAATACACCAGGAGGAACAGGAGGGGAGTGGGCAGTCCCAACTCAGGACAGACTGCACAACCCAGGGTTCCAGCACTGGGAAATAATGCCTCAGAACCTCTAGCTGTAAAAACTTTCTGGGTTGCAGTGGCAGAAAAAACTGCCAGTCTCTCAGGAGAGCACTTTTGAGGGGACCACAGGGTCCTAGAATGTATACAAGCCCACTCACCCCAGGAGTAAGCATCAGGGGAGCACCTGGAAGAGTGCCATTTGCTAGCAGGAAGAGGGGGAAGTAACTGAAATCAGCCGAGTGCCGAGCAGGTGGCACTGTTCCCTGTCTGACCCCTCCCCCACATACAGTGCCACAGTGTGCCAAAGTGAGTTGCCTCACCCTGGCAACTACCTAAGGCTCTTCCCCTTACAACATAACAGGTGCTCCAAGACAAAGAAATATGGCCCAAATTAAAGAACAAATTAAAAACTCCAGAGAAAGAACTAAGCAGTGGGGAGAGAGCCATCAGATGCAGAGTTCAAAACACTGGTAATAGGATGCTCAGAGAAATGACTGAGTATGGCCTCAAAATAAAGGAAGAAATGAAGGTGACACAAAGTGAAATAAAGAAAAATATACATGGAACCAACAGTGAAGAGAAGGAAGCAAGGACTTAAATCAATGATTTGGAGCAAAAGGAAGAAATAAATATTCAACTGGAACAGAAAGAAGAAGCAATAATTTTTTAAAAAATGAGGAGAGGCTTAGGAACTTCCTGGACAACTTTAAACATTCTAACATCCGAATTATAGGGGTGCCAGAAGAAGAAGAGGAAGAGCAAGAAATTGAAAACTTATTTTAAAAATAATGAAACTAAATGTCCCCAATTTGGAGAAGAAAATAGACATACAAATCCAGAAAGCTCAGAGAATCCCAAATAAGTTGGACCCAAAGAAGGCCACTCTAAGACACATCGTAATTAAAATGCCAAAGGTTAAAGATAAAGAGAGAATCTTAAAAGCAGTATGAGAAAAGAAGTTAGTTATCTACAGGGCAGTTCCCATAAGACTGTCAATTGATTTCTCAAAAGAAACTTTGCAGGCTACAAGAGATTGGCAAGAAATATTCAATCATGAAAAGCAGGAACCTACAGCCAAGATTGCTCTACCCAGCAAAGCCATCATTTAGAATTAAAGGGCAGATAAAGAGTTTCTCAGACAAGAAAAAAGTAGAGATTCATCATCACCAAACTATTATTATATGAAATGTTAAGGGGACTTATCTAAAAATAAGAAGATCAAAACTATGAACAATAAAATGGCAATAAACTCACATTTACCAACAGTTAAATCTAAAAAACAAACTAAGCAAACAAGAAGAACAGAAACAGAATCATGGATATGAAGAGCATTTGATGTTTGCCTGATGGGAGGGAGGTGTGGGGGAATGGGTGAAGCAGTGAGGGGATTAAGAAGTACAAACGGGTAGTCACAGAATAGCCATGGGGATGTAAAGCACATTATAGGAAATGGAGTAGCCTTAGAACTTATTCAGACAACCCATAGTCATGAACAATGGTGTGGGGATTGCCTAGGTGAGTGTGGTGTGCTGGGTAGAGGGGGGCAAAGAGGAAAAAATAGGGACAACTGTGATAGAATAATTGTAAAATATAATATGAATAATAAAATGAAATTAAATGCCATGAAAAGCATTGGGGACCTTATAGAACTTTGTTTATGTGTGATATAGTGTCAATATTTACTGTCAAAAATTAAAACTAAGAAATTTTAAATATATTTAAATTATCTTAAAATAATATTAATAAACCCATTATGTATTGATGTAAATAATGTTTTTAAGCAAAAGACTATATTTCCCCCCAAAAGTAGTGGGAGGCATAGCATTGTTTTACACTTTTGCAAATCTTTTTAATGACTGGCTGAATAGAAGGCAGCTGGATTCTCAGTTCTGCTTCTGCATTCAAACTGCTGCAAAATCCCATGCCACAAGGCCTCTGGAAGACTCACCCATGCACTCAGGAGACAGTGAAGGTAAAAAAGGCATATAGCATTTTGACGTTATCATGGAAATAGCTTTAACCTCATAGACCACCTGAAAAGATCTCAGGAGTTCCCACGGGACCCTGGACCATACTTTAAGGACTGCTACTAAATATTATCAAAGACAAAGCGATAGAGATCTGAAGGGAGAAAATGAAATTTAAGTAAATTTCAAGACATTGTAGAAAGAAGTACTAAATCTTACACTGAATTATGTAGGATGTCTTAAAACACTTTTAAAAAATGCTCACCTGAGCACATACTTATTGATTTTAGAGAGAGCGGAAGGGAGGGAGAGAAAGAAGGAGAGAAACATCGATGTGAGAGAGAAGCATTGCATTTGTTGGGCATCGGGCCCAGGGACCAAGCCCTGCAACCCAGGATGTGCCCTGACCAGGAATCAAGCCTGCGACCCTTTGGTTTACGGGACAATGCTCCAACCAACCGAGCCACACCAGTCAGGGTTTAATACGCTTTTTATGCTGTTATAAATTATTAACAATACACCCTTTGTAAATATATTTCTCATTCAACTAACTCCTGCTTTCCTTTGCCTATGTCATGATCATTGCCATATTTATGGCTTGTTCTTATTGACTTTCAATGGATTATCATGACATTGTTGAACAGTTATTATCATGTTTTCTTTCCCAAATTTAGTATGGGGTCCTATATTGCTTTTATGACTGCACTGCACCTAAAAGAAAAATATAAGCTGGAACCGATACATTTATTTGTGTCCAGTGTAAACGCTCCTCATGTAAGTAATTTCACTTTTTTCTAGGGTGGGTGGTGAAGAGGAGGGAATGGGGGAGGGATTGTGTTGTTATTTCCCTGTCTGTTGAATTCTGGCCCAGCATGGGGACAATGGTCGGGGTCCTATTGGCTAATGAAGAAACTCTCAAATCTCTTCCAATATCATCTCCCCTCTTCTCTGAAGTGCACCTTATCTGTTTCTTGGTCAGTGCCTGCACTGTCCCAGGTATCTCTAAGCTAATAGTGACCCAAAGTATTTATTCTTTCATTCTGCTGGGAACTTAATCAACTTTTGGCTAAGTAACTGGATCAGAGCCAGGAAAGAATATTTGAACTCTCCAAAGGCAAAAATGACATCAACCTTTCTAAACCACTCACACTTTTGATGTCAGGGCAGCTGTTCCTGCTGAGCATGCCTCTGCCCTTTGCTCTCCCTTCCCAGCCAAAGAAAGAGCCTGGTTGCCATTTTGGTGGCATTATGACACTGGAATTACTAGTGTAGAGGACCTTTCTGTAGAAGAAAAGGTCCTCTTCTTTTTAAAGGACCTTTCTGTAGAGGTCCTTTCTGCTTTTAAAAAGAAATAGGTCTTCCCTTGAAACCTGTGGATAAGGAATTCCACTTCCAAACCTTGACTTAATGAATTTCCTTTAGATAGGGAGCTTTCAGTTTATGAATAAGTACATTATATTGAAATATTAGACTTATGTTTTTAAGGCCATGTTGGCTCACCATCAAGAAGGGAAAGCGATGTCAGACGAACAAATTCACTCACTCCTTTTGAGATTCGGAGGCACGCAGATGGATGTTCTTAATGACAAGGACTTTTCTGAATACTATATTCACATTATGAAGGCAGATATACACATCATCGCAAATTACATGTAAGTAACTGAGATAAGTAATTTTTTTAGAAATAATTAAAGAAATGTAGATCAGCATCCTCTGAGACTGCTCATACAGGAAGGCAACATTCTAAGAGTTTGATTTCATTTCCTTTGGGGCCACCAGTGATATTTTTACTATCTTAGAATGGAGCCTGGGCACAAAAATTGTATTACTATAAGATGAAAAGAGCATATTTTTGTTTTAAATGTGTTATATACGTGTGAAGATGGAGTTCAACATACATGTTTCATCACATAACAAATATTGGTTGAATAAGTTGATGCCAAAGCACTGTCATCTTAGAGGGCTCAGCAGGAGGACAGTCATATGATTTAAGTTGAATGGAGGTGAGCCAGGCCCGGAAGGGGTGGCTGGCTTTTCTGTGAACTGTGTTCCAGGCTCATTTGGCTCCACGGCTGCTCTGTCTCCTGAGATGTGTGTACTGATGCCCGATTCTTTCGGTAGGAACAAAGTCCTCACATTCTTTAAAGCTTCCCAATAAACTAAACCTAGCCACGCCTCTTCCTAATGTCCCCAGAGCAGTGACTGTGGGGCTAGCCTTTGACCCATAGTCACCATTAGAGTCTGTCACGCATGTGTCTGATTTTGCCCCGTCTTTGCCTCCTCCACATACATTTCCAGAGGGCGGATGCTTGGACCTATGTCTCTTTTATTTCCTCCACAAAGGCTGGAACAAGGCACAGGACCGCCATGGGCAGTGTGTGACAAGATGTTTACACAAATAGCTACAAAGAGTAGGACCTACTTGAGGCCCCTTGAAAATAGGCAATCCTGCTCACTCGCCTGTGGCATGTCCCTCATTCACCGCATCTCCACTCTATCTATCGCTAAGTCTACCAGCTGTGGGCCCGAGTCTGTTCACCTCTTGCCGTTTCTGTCCCAACCATTTTTTCCCAAGTGTGATTCTCGCAGGGATAAGTTGTCTGTGTCACTGGCTTAGCACAGAGTCAGAATCAGAGAAACACCAGTCTGACATCACCTCCCCCCCCCCCCCCCCGCAAAGTGGAAAAGTAATTCAAGTCCCTGTGGACATTCAATGAAATGATATAGTAGGCAAAAGCCTCACACAACGGTTAAAGTTGCCATCTGTAGACTCTGCCTACCAGGATCAAAACCCTCTGCCTGGGACTTGCTCACTGGGAGATTCAGTGCAAGTGCCTTGAACAGTTTGTGTCAGAAGAAGGGATGAGAAAAAAAAACCCCTCCAGGTGCTGTGGCGAGGACTAAATGAGGTCAGGTCAGCAACTATCTAACCACCACACTTTTTAAAAGCAAAACAGCAGCAAAACTTCACTTCCAAAGGCTGTTGCTGTGGCGTCGTTAACATTTGTTAGTAGAGCTTCAGGGTGTTGATGGTGGACAGAGTTCAACAACAGTCCATCATAGACGCTGAGAGAGAGGAGGTCCATGGTGCGCCCGGAGGGCCCCAGAAAGAAGGTCAGGGCAGGGCGCAGGTGGGAGGGCAGTGGGACCCAGGGCACCTAAGTGGCTGTGAGTGGAGGGTTTTGGGGTGTCTGGGCTAAGGCCAGGTTGGTCAATTCAAACCAAAAAGAGTGAGTTTTGGTAAGCTTCATAGGGGTCTTCTCCTAGGGACACACTAGGGGAGTCAGAGAGATTGTTTCTCATGAGGTGTTGGGAGAGTGGTATCAGGGAGTTACCTGTGGGTGTGACTCCGCTGCTGCCATCTAGGATCGGCACTCACGCTAGTGTCAATTTAAGCCGCCCCGCAGGCTGCTTGGTCACATTATGTGGATGCTGAGGCAGCAATTGTCCACAGTAGCTTAGCTACATTCTTAACAGCTCTCGGAAGAAAACTCCCCAACATGAAAATACAGAAGAAATCACTCACCATGGGGTTGCCTGCCTACAAACAGAAATTCTTCTTCACCTTTCCCCCCGCCCCTGCCCCACCCCCAGTGAGTCAGAGTGCAGTAGCCACAGCTATGGGCTTCCTCTCTCCAGATTCCAGACATTCTCCCCAAACCCTGCTCTCTAGATTCTTCTCCCCTCTTCACTCCTGCTCCTTTCACACTCTCAGCCTATTCTCCCTTCTGGTCTCTGTGGCTCTCAGTCATTTCCAATTCAAATCAAATCGGGCCCACAGAACATCTCTCAGTCCTCTCTGCTTTCCTCACCACCGAGTCTGGGACCTGGTGGCTAGAATGGACATCTGCGACAGGTGGGAAAGCTTGCCTGCTCCGGACTCACTCAGGCTGTCCTGCTCCTCTCCTGCCTGGAGGGTGGTGCTGTTCTCTACTCACCTCTCGGAGCCCGGTTACACACACCGTAGGCTGTCAGAGTTTGCCCCAGGCTCTAAGGTGGTCTGCCTGTTTAAACTTTCCTTCCTTTGTGTTTGGGTTTGGATAATGCCTACTGACCATCTTCAGGTTCACTGGTTCTTTCCTCAGCTATATCCAGTCTACTGATGAGCCTGTCAAAGGAATTCCTCATTTGGGTTGCTGTCTGTTCATACAACTATTTGACTCTTTCTTGTAATTTTCACTTCTCTAATGAACTTCCCCATTTGCACGTGCATGTTGTCCACCTTTTCTGCAAGATCTTTAGACATCTTGAATATAGGTATTCGAAGTCCCTGACAGCTCCAACATCTGGGTCATATCTGAGTCTGATTCTGTAGGTTGGTTTGCCTCTTGACAATATATATATATATATATCCATCCATCCATCCAGATATGCATGAAGCAGAGAGTGCAGTATGTATTTTCTACACCTGGATTTGAGCACATCTCACCTGCTGCCAGGGCATCAGCATGGGGAGCTGAGTCAATCAAGACTGGAAATGACCTGTGTCTGGCTTTTGTTGTTACCGTTGTTATTTCTGGGCAATGGCAGCTTCCAAGTCCCCTGTGCTACCATGTGCTCAGCATGAAGACTGGGCCACTGGAGAACTGCCCTCAGTGTTCCAGTCCTTCCTGTGCCTTATAGAACAGTCTGTCTCCACTGACAGACAGCTGCTGCTTGTTACCCGATGTGTGGGGTCAGCCTCTGGGGTAAGACAGGGAGCTCTTAGAGGTCCTGGGCCTTGTGGCTAGGACTCTCCAGCATGCCTGCCCCGTCTCCCTGTGGTTGGTCTTATGCAGAAGTCCCTGCCCTTCCCAGAAGTAGAAATGTTGGTATAGACTTGCTGGGCTCTCACCCCACTTTCAGTCACTCCGCCCACTAACCACAAGCAAACTGGGCCCTTGTGGTGCTGATCCCTGGGTGGGTGGGTGGGTTTGTGTACATTCTAGGACCTTGTGAGTCTCTCCAACAAACTCTGCTGAGGCTGGGAGTTTTTCCCACTGCCACAACCCCCACAGGTTTTACAGTCAGAGGTGTTTCTTTTCCCACTCTGGAACCCTGGTTAGTGCAGTGTCTCGCACTCCCCAGTTATTCCTACAAGTTTATTGGCACACAAATGTGGGACCTCCCAGTTCTCTAGCCACTGCCTTGCTGTGCATCCTCTGTGCCCATCTCTGCCCCTCCTACTGGTCTGGATGAATGTTTCTTCTTTAACTTTTTGTTGTCGGACTTCCATACAGTTCGATTTTCTGGCAGTTCAGGTTGGTTTTTGTTTTTAAATTTGTTGTTGTCTTTTTGGTTGTGTGAGGAGGCACAGTGTGTCTACCTATGCCTCCGTCTTGTTGGAAGTTCTTCCTGTCATCTTAAGGATGACCAAAATCCTAAGGATGGCCTTTATGAGGCCTAGACTTGGCCCTTGTCTACTTCTTTTACTTCAATTTGTCCCAGTTCCTGCTTCACTCTCAGAAAGCCTCTGGCTTGTGCTCATTCTCTTTCCTCTTCTGCTGACTTCCCCCACCCCCACCCCACCCTTTGCCAAGTTTTGTCCTATTCACTCAGATCTCAGACCCAACTTTTTCCCCAGGGAGACTTTGCTTGACGCTGCCCCACCCCCTCTGTCAACTGTTCACAGGTCCCCCTGAACTCTGGTTGTCTGATTGTCTCACTCACGTCTGTCTCCCCAGCCAGTCTCTTAAGTTGCAGGAGGAGAGACTGTGCTTATCCACAGGCTCCCAGTGGGAAACACAGCAGCCTGCACCAGCTCAATAAATGTATGTTGCTGTTGGGATTAAACTGAGAACATGTGGAACCAGCTCAGGAGACCTGCTTGTGTGAACCTGCTTTTGTTCTGTTGGTTGCAGCCATCTCTGGACCATGGATTGCTGGTCATTTCTGGGAATGGCAGTTAAAGGGACTAGTTGTAATTGGCCTCACCCTGAGTTGGACTGGGGGCCCAAATGCCATCCAACTGCCACTTGCACTGTTCTAGAAGTTAGATGACCTTGGAAAATGGCCTGGACACAGACAGGCTCACATGTAAAAGGACCTCTGGTAAAAAAAAAATGTTCGGCTCTGGCTTGTGTGGCTCAGTGGATTGAACGCCAGACTGCAAAGCAGAGGGTCACTGGTTCAATTCGCAGTCAGGGCACATGCCTGGGTTGTGGACCAGGTCCCCAGTTAGGGGTGTGCAAGGGGAAACCACACATTGATGTTTCTCTCCCTTTCTTCTTCCCTTCCCCTCTGTCTAAAAATAAACAAAATCTTTAAAAAAATGTTTGGATTTCGGGAAATAGCAAAAAAGAAAGAAGCAAGGACACACCATGTTTCATTCAAGTGACTCTAGTGATAGGAAAAGATCCTTGGAAAAGTTACTAACTGGCTTTTTTCTGTTTACAGCTTCAAAGCACCATCTGAGCCTGTTCTATCTTGTGACTTAACATGCTTTCTTGGAACTGAAGATGTAGTAAAGGATACGAAAGGTGAAATAACTTAGATAATTTTGAGTATTTTATTAAGATGTTTGTTTGATAGTTTTCCAGCTAAAGTTCAATCAGAAGTAACTGCAGTAAGTAGGAAATGGGCCCAAGCTTTATTTGACATAAATGGAGAGACATCGGTCATGTGTAAAATGAGAGAACACAGGTCAGGCTACTGGATACTGATAGGCTTTAAGGAAATAAAAGATACACGACTTACAGAACATGAGACCTTGAAAGGAACTCTGCTCCTGGTGCCAGATCTTGGAAGGGTAGTATCTGGAAGTGAATCTTTTGTTTTCAGTATCATTTGTTATTAAATTTATCATTTTGTTTATTTTTAGCCTGGAAGGATGTAACCAGCGGAAGGCTTAATACTCTCATGCGTCCAGGAAATCACTTCTATATCAAGGAGCCTGCCAATGAGGCCTTCATCAGGAACTACATAACCAGGTGTCTGGAGCTGTCGCTGTTCTAGAGAATTTTTCTTTTGGGTCTAAAAAAGTCAAAATGATTATATGATGCTTTTTAATTTTTCAGAAGTAGATCGTTAGTTTTATTCTGAAATTGGAATGTTACACATTTGCTACTGTCAAGTGATCTGTTAGCCATGAATGCACTGCTCCTGGGTTGTGTATGTGCCTGGGGCCAAGCGACAATGGACCCTGCACACTTCCGGAAGGGTCCTTTGTCTTTGCATCCAAATCTCATTTCAGTCTCCTCTGTAGGAAGTCTGTCGACAAAGTTCCTGCTTGGTAAATCATCCACTATTTCTCCCTTCAATTATTTTAACAGTGAAAATAACCAGGGACATGATTGAAATTAAATTGTTTCTTTCATCTACACACTAGGGCTCAAAGCTTGATGTAATCTTTTGAAATACAAGGTTATACCATTTAATAAGAAAATGTAACCTACTGCTCGGTTAAAACAAGACAGTCCTAAACAATCATTGCCTTCTGTTCTGCTCTGTCCTGAGAATGCCTCTAAGCCCTGGCCCTCTTCCAGTGGGTCCCTCCTCCGCCAACTGCCAGTTGGCTCCCTGTAGCCCTGCTGCTGTGCTGGCAATGACTGCCTTTGCCCAGGGGGAGTCCTCCCATGGACAACTAATCTAGAATCTGGCCATTGGTATTTGGAGTGGCCAAGTATACAAATGCCACATCCCACAGGCTACCTTTAAAGGGCCAGCAGGAGGGGTCCTGTGGTCTGGGAAGGTTCTGCATCTCAACTGTATGAATGGCAAGGCCCTGGTTGAATTTTGTGCACTGTTACTATGAGGGGGAAAATGGGTCTCTCTGTATTATTTCTTGCAACCACATGTGAATCTAAAATTATCTCAAAATAAAAAGTGTAACAACAAATCCAGCTTGATTTCTAATTTGGAAAATTGGGGGAAGTGACAACGATTCACATTTCTACTAAGCTTTCAGTAAGTAAGCCTTTTTCGGTGACCACTTGATGTGGACATGGGGAGGGAGCTGGACAGCTGGAAACAAGCTGGGGGCTAACAGGGGGAAAAGCAGAAATAGGGAAAAATGAGCTGGGTCAGACAACTAAGAACACTATCAATGGGACCCACAGGTGCCTCCTGATGAGGATGAAGAGGCACCTGCACCTTGTCTCCAAGCTGTGCGCACCCTGCTGTCTCTGGCAGCACCCAAATGCCTGTCTCTCGGAATCCCGGCTGTTCTGTCCGACACCCTGGTTTCCTTACTTCCTGTGGGTCTTCACAATGAACTCTCCCACTTGACTGATGTAACCAATGTCTCTTTTTCACAACTTAAACTGCTTAGCCCAGTTTTGGTATATATTAAAACATTAACTATTAAAGCACTGATATGTTTATGATCATGTAATGAGTTCATGTTTTTGTTAACAATTTTTAAATCATATATAAAGAGTTTTAGTAAATAAGAACAAAGGAAATGCATACAGGAAGTCTTTTTTAGAATTCATCACTTCTTTTTAATAAAGTGCAAATAACATAAAACCCATTATGAAGAAAGGGCTTTGATTTAGAATTCACATAATAAATTTGGGCTACAAATAGCCTCAAGCAAATGGAGTTAGACGTTTAGTATGTGCTATGCTCTCTCTACTCACTGGTATATGACTTACAGGTTCCCTTACAGAATGACAGCTACTAAAGTATTATGGATTCTCAATTATTAATTTAAACAATTTTCAGTTAATATAGTACACAAAACCTCATGAGGAAGTCAATGCCAGGCTTTTGGGGCAGGCTTTCTCCCCTGCCTCTCCCTCTAGTGGAGGTAAAGTCCACATGGGAACAGCTCTGAGAGTTTCCCAGCCCTTGACTGGAAGGAAGAACCAGGCCTCTCACTGCTGACTAATGGTTCTTCTCACTGTTGGATCTGGACGTTGACTCCATCGTGGAAGCCTTCTGACTGTCTTTAGGCAAAACTTAGTAGAAATGAGAATCACTGTTACTTCCCCAAATTTTCCAAGTTAGAATTCAAGCTGGATTTGTTACACTTTTTATTTTGAGATAACTGTAGATTCACATGTGGTTGCAAGAAATAATACAGAGAGACCCATTTTCCCCCTCATAGTAACAGTGCACAAAATTCAACCAGGGCCTTGCCATTCATACAGTTGAGATGCAGAACCTTCCCAGACCACAGGGACCCCTCCTGCTGCTGTCGTGGAGCCACACCCATGGCCCTCCGCCTCGCAGTCCCTGTTCTGCCCTCTAGGCCTATAACAAGAATGGTAGAGAAATGGGCTCGTCCAGTGTGTAACCTTTTGGGATTGTTTTTTTTTTTTTCCCCACTGGAAATTCATCTAGTGAATTTAGTTTTTTTTTAAAGCCACAAGAAATCAACTTATCCCTCTGGTCATACCATACCACACCTGAACCTTCATGCAGGTAATCGAGGTACACTGCTTTGGGGAGATTTGTAGCCTATGAAAGCTCAAACAGATTTTTGAACTATTAATGTGGGATTACCTTCTTTCAGAGAGCTTGCAAACCAGCAGGAAGGACTGAGTATTGGGCCAACAAGATATTTCAGGCTCTACACTGTCACTCTGATAAAACTCAACAGAAGAGTACAGTGAGTCACACCATCTATCACCACTAGACATTGCATTTCAATTTGATTTTTTATTTGTCTTAAACATAAAAATTTAAGGAAAAATAGCTGTTAATCCCATGGTGTTTTTCTTTGAAGAGCTATAGACTCATAAGCTTATTTTTTGAAAATTACCTTATTTATTTTTAGGTTTTATGTAGCATAAGCTTTAAAGTACAAGTAGAATCATCCAAGTTATCTCATTCAATTCTTACCACCCACTGAGGCTGGTATTTTTCTCCCGTCTCTACAGATGAGGCTTAGCAAGGTTAAGTGCTTGCCTAGGTCACCTAACAGCTGCCTCACAGGGTGAGGAAGGACTGGAACCAGGACTGGAGTCAGGCCCTGTGTCAGTGTGAACCCCACAGCCACACGGTGCCACAAAGGGACAGTTTGCTACTGGTTCTTTAAAAACTGCTGATTCCACCAGTAATACTAACCCCCAGTAGAAAAACAGACAGACTACAAGAACAAACAATTGTTAATGCTGTGTGCACACACTACCGGATCAATAATTTTTCAAAAGAATATTTAAAATCACCTTGTTATGTTGATTAGTCTTTGATACATGTGATGAATCAAAAACCTAAATAAACATAACTTTTTAAAGATTTCTTTATTTATTTTTAGAGGGAAGGGAAGGGAGAGAGATAGAGAGGGAGAGCAACATCAATGTGCGAGAGAAACACCAATCTACTGCCTCTTGCACGCCCCCAACTGGGGACTTGGCCTGCAATCCATGCACGTGCCCTGACCGGGAATTGAACCCGTGACTTTTTGGTTCACAGGCCAGCACTCAGTCCACTGAGCCATACCAGCTAGGGCTAAAGATAATTTTTTAAGTGTGAAAAAAATTTACCTTGTCTTAGCAAGTAACATTTCCTTAAATGTGCAGTTTCATTATACCTCTTAATTAAGGACTATAATTCACATTACTAGCAAAAACATTCATGATGCGTAAAGAGTTAACAGTGCATTTCTCTGCTAATGTTAGGTCATGATACCATTACGAAGGCTTCAGAAGGAAAGTTTTTTCATAGTCTGGATTCTAAATTCCATATTTTTCTATCAGCTCTTTTGCTTTAGAAATATAGGCATTCATGGCATCTTCCTTCGATAATCCTGGAAAGATACAAACAGATTATCTCACTAACAGGTGTACTAGGAAGCTAAGAAAATGTGTTGAACTATTTAAGAATTCACAACCTTTTTGGAGGTTCCATGCTTCCCACTTAGCCTTGCCTTTCAAATCTAACATTCCTGGACACTCTGCCAAAAGAAGGGTAGATGTATTTTCAGGATTGATTTTTACTCTACACTTCTACACACATTGCTCAAAGTGTATCAGCATTTTTAAGATGACAGTAAATACCGATATTGATGTCTCCAATTACAGATTGTTTGTAGAGCCCGTAGAGTTCTTTCAGTTCTTCATCATCTGGCCTTGCTTTCAGCTTCCTTACATCTTCGGCTGCCTGATCAAAATCAGCCTAGAGCAAAGGGGGAAAAGGCACACAGTGCATTCACTAAGTTTATGCAGCCATGTCTGTCTGGGGGCTTTCACCACCAAGCAGTGCCAACTCACTGAGCAGCAAGGGGGTTTCAAGTACAAATAAACTATTCCTGTTCTGACTCCACAGAATGATCATAACTTACTCATGGACACCTGTCCTGGTACTTCCCTGAGACACAGACAAGACGTGGAGAATGAAATATAATTCTGAATACTGCAATTGTTCAATTTATCTATGTTTAAAAATTGAAAAAGATACAAAAAAATGGAAAGAATATCCTGTGTTCTTGGATTAGAAGAATTAATGTTGTTAAAATGTACATACTACTCCAAGCAACCAAGGAGCCTACAGATTTGATGCAATCCTTATCAAAATTCCAGTGGCATTTTTCACAGAAACAGAAAAACAATCGTAAAATTTTTATGAAACCGTAAAAATGCCAAATACCCAAAGCAATCTTGAGAAAGAAAGTTAAACTTAGAGGCATCATGCTTTCTGATTTCAAACTATATTACAAAGCTATAGTATTCAAAACAGCACAGAGCTGTCATTAAAAACAGGCACTGTCATTAAAAACTAGGTCAATAATAGAAGAGAGCCCAAAAGAAACCCATGCATATATGGTCCATTTAATTTATAATGAACTAGCCAAAAACATACAACGGGGGGAAGACAGTCTCCTCAATAAATGGTGTTGGAAAAACCAGACAGCTACATGCAAAAGAATGAAACTAGAGCACTATTTTACACCATATACAAAAATCAACAAAATGGATAGAAGGCTTGAACATAAGACTGGAAACCATAAAACTCCAAGAAAAAATGTAGGCGGTAAGCTCTTTGACATTGGTCTTAAAGATAATTATTTTGCCCTGGCTGGCGTAGCTCAGTGGATTGAGCGCGGGCTGGGAACCAAAGTATCGCAGGTTCGATTCCCAGCCAGGGTACATTCCTGGGTTGCAGGCCATAACCCCCAGCAACCGCACATTGATGTCTCTCTCTCTCTCTCTCTCTCTCTATCTATCTATCTCTCTCTCTCCCTCCTTTCCCTCCCTAAAAATAAATAAATAAAATCTAAAAAAAAAAGATAATTATTTTGAATTTGACACCCAAAGCACAAGCAACAAAAGCAAAAGTAAACATTATAAGCATTATATCAAACTAAAAATCATTATATCAAACTAAAAAGTAAACATAGAAGCATTACATCAAACTAAAAAGCTTTTGCACAGCAAAGGAAACCATCAACAAAATGAAAAGACAACCTACCAAATGGAAGAAAATATTTGAAAATCATAGAGCTGATAGGGAGTTAATATCCAAAATATAAACAAAGAACTCATACAATTCAATAATAAAAAACAAACAGCCCAATTAAAAAATGGGAGGTGACCCTGCCTGGTGTGGCTCAGCTGGTTGGAGCATTAATTATCCCATAACCAAACGGTTGCAGGTTTGATTCTGGTCAGGCAGTGCACATGCCTGGTTTGAGGGTTAGATCCCTGGTCCAGGTACAAATGGAAGGCAACGAATTGATGCTTCTGTCTCACATTGATATTTCTCTTTCTTCTTTCCTCTCTCTTTAAAAAGTGTCCTTGGGTGAGGATTAAAAAAAAGGGGGAAGTGGATCTGAATAGACTTTCTTTACAGAAAAGACATACAGACAGCTGACACGTGAAAAGGTTCTCAAGATCATTAAGAATCAGGAAACTGCAAATCAAAACCACACTGAGATACTACTTCACACTCCTTAGAATCACTTTGATGAAAAAGACGAGATTCTCAGTATTGGTGAGGATGTGGAGAAAAGGGAACCCTTATAGAATGTTGCTGGGAATGTGAACTGGTTCATCCACTGTGGGAAACAGTATGGTGTTTCCTTAAAAAAATTAAAAATAGAACAATTATATAATCCAGCAATCCCATTTTGGGAATTCATATCAAAGAAGCAAAACCACTATCGTGAAAACACACCTGCACCTTCATTTTCACTGCAGCACTATGTACCACAGTCAGGACATGGGAAAAACGGCCTAATGTTGACCAGCAGATGAGTGGGTAAAGGAGATAAATACAACGAAGCATTATTCAGCCATAAAAAAGAGACAGTCCTGCCATCTGTGAAAATATGAATGCATGCTGAGGGCCTTGTACTGTGTGAAATAACTCAGACAAAGACAAATCCCATATGCTCAAACTTACACACTAATATAAACAACAGAACTCACAGAAACTGAGAACAGACTAGGGGTTACGAGAAGCAGTGCGGGGAAGAGGGAAATTGGTGAAGGTGGTCAAAAGAGTTAAAGGAAAATTGTAACACATATTTTTCCTGTACGTTAAAAGTACATAAAAGCACGTTGTTTAATTGCATTACACTCAGTGCGCCTTTCTCGATCATCACCCTCATGGACACTTTCTTCACTTCTTCCCAAACCTACGCTCTACTACACGTAACAGCTTTGCTACCAATTAATACCTTGTTCAGGGCATATGCCTCCCACATTCTTCAGCATCAGTATTAGTTAGACCCGGTTAGTGGACTAGCTAGTTTCTGAGGTCAGTATCCCTGATTTCATTGTGTAGATTCCTGTAAACGAAACTTGTAAGACTTATTTCAGTTGGTTTACAGAAAAGAGTTGTTCAGCCAATTTAGAGCTGATCAGTGAAAAGAAACGGGCTTCCTGGAAAGTCTGTATACAAATATTCTCAGTAATAAACTCTGTCCTCCCCCCGTGACTTCACTCTGAACACTCTGACCAGCCTCACCCCCCTGGACCCTCAGGCTGTCCTGGGCCCCTCAGCTCGGGGCTGGCCAGCGGCCACCCCTTGGCCTATTATTCACAGAGACAGAGTGAATGCTCCCAGAAACGTGGTTCCTGTCCCCTTTTTAACTTCTTAGTGTACATACAAAGGCCATGGTGATTGCTTTCCTTAGTAGAATTTTTCCATTCTCCTTTAGTAGACTGTATTTTACCTAACGTCATTTGTTTTAAACCGCGGATAAGCAGGAATTGTGGGGTATCAGACAAGATAGTCTCAGTGAGGTATTCCACCTGACCTCGTATTTTCTTTCTCCAAAGTCAGAGCTCCCTTTTGACCCAAAGATCCAAATGCCTAGTAGAGAAAGCAGATAGCCCCGCTGTAATTTCAGAACCCCAGTGATCTCAGCAGAGTTGCTGGATAAAATTTCCACCCAGTGCCAAAGGCTCCTGTAACACAACTGAATAGTTGTTTTGTAATGAACAAAAATCACTTGCAAATGGGAGACCAGTCTCCTACCTAAATAACCTTGAAAATGGCCCCACTTCCTAATTTATTCCCTACAGGAGTCTGAGAAGCATGGGTACATGTGATGAGAGACAAACCCTCAACTCATCTGAGTCTTTTTAAGAAATCATCAGCTGCTTTGTACATAATGGCATGGTTAAGAACACAGGCTTTGGAGCTAGACTGCCCTGGTTTGAATCTCAGCTTCACCACTTCAGAGCTGTGTGACCTTGGACAACTTACTAAACCTCTCTGTTTCTTCATCCAGAATATGGGCCAATAACACCACCTATCTACCAGGTTGTTGGGTGGATTTAAATAAACTAACACATGTTAAATATTTAAAATAGTGCCTGGCACATAGTGAGTGGTTGATAAAGTTTAACTACTATTATTTTTATTTTAAGGCTCTTTGAGAAAAAATAGTTCTAGAAAAAACTGAAAAAAGTATTCACAATAAAGCAAGACATGAAAAATACTTTTCTGTAATTTAACAAAGAATACAAAATTGTTTTTATATACTCAGCTTTGCAAGTAATAAAAGAGTAGAAAGAAATATACTAAAATATGCAAAAAATACCTTTGATTATTGGTAAGTTTTCTGGTTTTTTAATACTTTCTATACTCTCCACATCATCTACAATGTGCATGAACTGTGTCTATAACAAGGACAAAATGAAAATGCTGCATTAGTGGCAGGGCTATTCGGAGAGGCGGCAGCGTCTTCCCCTTCAGGTTATCATGCATCTCAGGTGTTTCTGTTTCTCGTAAAGCCTCGTGCCACTTTCTCGAGACAGCAACTCAATTCTTCTAGGCAAGCTAAGCCTTGATTAGAATTCTAAGGCTTCTCAAAAACCATACTAGGTAACTGCCTTCCAGGAAGGAGTTTCAGGAAGGTTGTTCTCAGACCCTCAGCACAGAGGAGTCCAGCCCCACAGAGCTTCACGGGCAGTGTCAGGGGTCCCGGTCCCTCCTCCCTCCCCAGAGAAGCCCATTGCAGAGCAGGGCCCAGGACCATTCCCTCTTTCCAGCTCATCCTTCCCTGGCACCTTGACTTGGTGTGTTCCTGCTCTGTGGGGTGGTTCCCACGTGCCATCCTCTGTGAGGACTTCCCCACCCACGCATGATGAGCTCCAGGGGAAGAACACTGGCCTTGGGTCAGGCCACTGGAATTGAATTCCATCTCTGAGACCCACTACCACGGGATTCTGGGCAAGCACCTAGCTCCTGTGAGGTTAGGGTTCTGCTGAAAAAAGATCCTATCAACCTGTGGGAAGGTGTTAGCATTAAACACAGTTAAGAATGTAAATTTTTAAATTTTATTCTGTTGATTCTGCCCACCCAGGGCTCATCACTTGCATCATACTGTTTAACAGACACATTGGCTGGGCAGCCAGGGATGAAGAGGGCAGCCAGCACTCAAGGAGCTCAACGTTTCCTGGGAGATGAGCAATCAACAATGATCATGTGATATTTGGGTGCTCTGGGGACAAAGAGGAGGGAGCAGCCACAGGTGCAGAGGATACATTCCCAAAGGAGACAGAGCTCAGCTGAGCTGGAGGCCAGCACTTTTGGGATGGATAGGAGCAGGAAAGGGTTCCCGGCAGCATGGATGGCATTCATTAGAGCTCAACACAGATGCTAGGGGACTGTATTTGTTGTTTCCCCACATATGCACAATAGAGGGCAGGCATAAATATTCATCTTGGTAGTAGGAGTCGCGCCTTACAGAGTGCTGGAACGTGGTACAGCCTATGTGAGCCCCTTGTTGAATAAAGGAATATGTAAATGGATATGAAGTTATCATAGGTGAGGAGCAGCTTTAAATGTACAACTGTTTACATTTAATCCCAAAGCATTCTCAGCAAAAAGGAATGTTTTGTAATGTTCTTGTGCTACTCCGGAGCTGGGCTCACTGCTGGCGGTGAGGGGTTTCTGCCTCTTCAGAGCTGGCTGTCCTGGAGCCAGGTCCCCAACACCCTGGCTGAACATATGTGTGCATCATTCCCTGGCAACCGTGATGGATTCTTCAAAACAAACTGCCTCCAGGCCCCCTCCCAGACCCTTACTGGTCCATGTGTGTGCCGCAAGGATGTCTGGCTACATACACTGCTTGGGTAGCAGTGACTTCAGCGTCTCCACTATCACATCACTCATAGCAGGTGTGTCCTGCCTTCCTGGAGATGGGAGCAGTCTCTTACCCGTTAGGAGTGCCGACCACCTTGGCCTCTGTGTAGCTTTCAAATTTCACCACAGCTGAAGGCAGCCCCTGACGGTGACTCTCGCCTATTCTAGCTTGACTTTCTGCAGCCAAAGAACGTGGTCATCCACACATACAGTTGATGACATCTTTGTGAGCAATCCTTTCCCTCTGAGAAACTGGATTAGGAAGATCATAAATTCTCACACTCAGGAACTGCACAGTTCTTAGGTCAAAAAGAGGTGTATGTGGAGGGCAAGGGGTTAGTTAGGTCCCAATTGCAAAACCACAAATTCCCTGGCCTCAAAAAGATGTATTTTCTTGAAGAAGCAGTCTGCCTTTTAATTTCATCATCTGAGAAAGAAGTATGTCCAGTTTACACAACTGTCAAGTGGCCTAAAAGCTTTGCTTTAGGAGTAAACATATTATAACTAAAATAAGATTTGGAGGTTATAGCTGAATTAGAAATCTCATTTGTTTTGTCAAACAAAATGAAGCAAAGTACTAAGCTAAAAAGGAAGAGTGTTCTGACCTTCAAAGATTTATTTGGGGGGAAAGTTCAATATGAATTATGTCAAACATAGGAGGAAAATGCAGACAACTGTAATTGAACAACAAAATAAATTTTAAAAAATATCTAAAGGTTCAAGGACATGCTTATCTTTATTGGACAGTTAGCACGTACCAGGCAATTTTAAATGCTCTACACATGCAGCTTGTTTCATCCTAGTCTCTCACTTTCATCTTTAGATCAGGAAACTGAGGCACAGAGGGGTTAAGTAGGTCACAGGCTAAGAAGGGGTGAGGTTTGGATTTGAAAGTGGCAGGCTCTGGAGTATGTGCATTCGCCCCTCAAACATTTTCCTTAAAGAATGGTCAATGAAGTGAGACATGCTCATTCCATGAAATTGTATGCAGATATTTTTTTAAAGATGTACTTTTAAAATTTTTTAAAAGATTTTACTTATTTATTTTTAGAGAGGAAAGGGAGGGAGAAAGAGAGAGAGAGAAACATCAATGTGCGGTTGCTGGGGGCCCATGGCCTGCAACCCAGACATGTGCCCTGACTGGGAATCGAACCTGCGATACTTTGGTTCGAAGCCCGCACTCAATCCACTGAGCTACGCCAGCCAGGGCCATATGCAGATATTTTTAAAATTATATTTTAGAGTAATATTTGATGGTGAGAAAATACTAACGTAGTGTTACGTAAAGGAACAAAAGTATACGTACATAATAGCTTAATCGGTGTGTCTATATATACCCGCATATTTGCACAAGAACATGCCTGTGTGCACACACACACATGCGCACATACACATTTCGGGCACGGAGGAGACAGTAACCCATTATGTCAGTGGTGGTTATCACCTAGTTGAAGGAATTCCTGATCGTTTTCATTCACTTTATGTTTGTTCTCCTTCCCCAAAAGTTCCACCCTCAACATACATCTTTTTCACATATCAGAAAAATGGCATTTTTAAATCGTTGTTTTACAGATACCTGCCCTTGCCTAAGAGAGCCACCGGACGTGGCAAGAGCAAAGAGACGCGAGTGGGACCCAGACGCCCTCGCCTCGGTCTCCAGGAGGGAAAGGGCGGCGGCCCAGGCCCCGCGCCGTCCCCGAGTGCCCCGCGTCCACCCTCCCTAGGGCCTCCCCACTCTGCGGTTACCCAGTCCCCCGGGTTCGCAGGAGTTGCCTCCGGGAGCTCCGGCTCTGCGTCAACAAATGACACCTGTGCGGTCTCCCCTGCAATACCGGGGCGCGGGCGAAGGCGTGGGAACGTCCTCGGGGTCAGCGCGGACCGCTCCCGGGTGGCGAGGACCACGGGCAGCAGCCGCCCGAAGCGCGGGGTCCGAGACGCGGGACGCGCCGCCGCCGGGGGACCACACGTCCGCCCCGCGCCCCCTCGAGCCCTACCCTCCGGGAACGCCTCTCCCGCGCGCCCGCCGCCCTCTGGCTCACCTGCAGGGACATGGTAGCGGCAGCCCCGCACACCCGCACTCCCGGCGCCGGTTCCACGCACCCCGCGCCCCGCCGCTCTTTAAAGCGCAGCGCTCCCGCCCGCCCGCCGACTCCCATTGGCCGCCCGACGGGGGCTGGGCGGGGGCTGGGCGGTGACGGGCGCCTGCCCGCCGGGGCGGGGGGGGCCGCGGGGGGAGGCCGGGGGCGGGGGGCAGCCGGACCGGGGGCGGAAGGAAGGGAATTTAAATGAGCTCCTCTCCGCTTCAGGCTCGCTCCCCATTCTTTCCCAAAAGGTTGTTCGCAGGAAATCCAAACAGGTCTCTCCTGGTCACTGACCTCACTTGAAATTATTTTTAAAATATATTTTTAAATCTATACTTATTTTACATATAAATATATACTTATTATATCTCTCTCTACCTCTACCTCTACCTCTATCTCTACCTCCATCTCCATCTCCATCTCTATCTCTATCTCTATCTCTATCTCTATCTCTATCTCTATCTCTATCTCTATCTCTATCTCTATCTCTCTACACACCTGTCCTCTCCATAATTCCTAGAAACCTGGCAGGCGGACAGTGTTGGTTCAGACCTCTCACGTCTCCCCACTGTCCCTGGACACACTTCATCAGGAATGAAAAAGGCTGGCATGTGGGTCTTTCCTCCTCTCTGTAAAGCAAAAACACGTTCTGAACACGCGCTGCAACCACCCCTAGTAGTTTTCAAAGGCACGGGACTCGCCTACTCAATGTCACTCCAAGTCTGCAGGCACACAATGAGGCTGTGATTCAACATTTGATTAAATTTTCAAAGAACTGGAACTGCATTTCTCGGTCATAAGAGAAGTTAATTTGGCTCTTCATTTAAATAGAAACATTGTGCAGCAAGGTGACTGGAAAAGCCCACAAAGTTAGTGCCAAGAAAGTTACTGATTTGAAACGTCTAACGATTCAACAACGTTTCACAATGCCAGGGACAGAGAGGCCCCAAAACATCTTACCTTGTTTTTCTACAAAACTACATTTTAAATTTTTTGCTACTTTTTCACATAAATCCCTTGGCTTTTTATTTTCTCCTCGAAAGTATTTTCATAATGTATAAATGAATTTCCAAGAAAAGGACAAAAAAGCAAATGTTGGGAAAACATACTGGGCATGATTTTTTCATATATATGTATATATAAACTTTTATTATAATCATTGTTCAAGTACATTTTTCTGTCCTTTACTCCCATTCCAGCCCACCCACCCATCTCTCCCACTTCCCTCCCATTTCCACCCCTCCTAGTTTTTGTCCGTGTGTCCTTTAAATTTGTTCCTGTAAACCCTTGCCATTCTCCCCTGAAATTCCCACTTCTCTCCCCTCAGGTAAGCCTGTCCTCTATTTCAGTGTCTTTGACTATATTTTGCTTGTTTCTTTGTTTTGTTGTTTAGGTTCCTGTTAAAGGTGAGATCATATGGTATTTGTCTTTCACTGCTTGGCTTGTTTCGCTTAGCATAATGCTTTCCAGCTCCATCCATGCTGTTGCAAAGGGTAGGAGCTCCTTCTTTCTTTCTGCTGTGTAGAATTCCGTTGTGTAAATGTACCATAGTTTTTTGATCCATTCATTCACTGATGGGCATCTAGGTTGCTTCCAACACTTGGCTATTGTAAATTGTGCTGCTATGAACATTGGGATGCACAGGTTCTTTTGGATTGGTGTTTCAGGGTTCTTAGGATATAGTCCCAGCAGTGGAATTGCAGGGTCAAAAGGCAGATCCATTTTTAGTTTTCTGAGGAAGTTCCATACTGTTTTCCACAGTGGCTGCACCAGTCTGCAGTCCCACCAACAGTGCACTAGGGACCCCTTTTCTCCACAACCTCTCCAACACTTATTGTTTGTTGCTTTGTTTATGATGGCCATTCTGACCTGTGTGAAGTGGTATCTCATTGTGGTTTTAATTTGCATCTCTCTGATAGCTAGTGATATTGAACATCTTTTCATGTGTCTCTGGATCCTCTGTATGTCCTCCTTGGAGAAGTGTCTGTTCAAGTCCTTTGCCAATTTTTTAGTTGGGTTGCTTGTTTTCTTAGAGTGGAGTCGTGTAAGTTCTTTATATATTTTGGAGATTAAACCCTTGTCTGAGGTATCATTAGCAAATATGTTTTCCCATACTGTCATTGTTTGCAGATGACATGATAGTGTGCATAAAAAATCCTATAGACTCGGCTAAAAAACTGCTTGACCTAATAAATGAATTTGGCAAAACAGCGGGATACAAAGTCAATATCAAGAAATCAAAGGCATTTCTGTACACCAGCAATGAAACAGCAGAAGCAGAAATCATTTTTATATTTTTATATTTTATATTCCTGGATGATGGGCCATGCACGCTGGGTTGGAAGACAAATGGCAACTTCCCAACAGTGAGCGCTTCCTCTGCTGGGGAGAGCCCTGTCTCTGTGCGTCAACAGGGAGGGACTGCCACGAGGGCCCATATCTGTATCCATCTGCAACAGAGGCATTTCAGCTTTACAGTCATTTTGAGAAATCAGGAGGAAGAGAGAGGGAAGGTACTTTTCTCTCTGTTGTATGCTTTAAGTCTAGAATGTCCTTTCAAGAACTCAGTCCAAAGCATGTTCTTATCTTGAGTTGCCATTCCTAGATGGAATGTCAGAGCTATGGGTGTCTTATCTCCAGGAGCAAGAAGGAAGAAGAAAGAGTGAAAATATTGACATCCAGTGATAACAGTATACTAGGTACAGTGAAAACTCAGCTTTCTGGAACCCTTAGGAGTGAGTCAGTCTGGACAGAAAAATCAAGATTTTTTTTAACCATTTTATTAAATGTTAATTATAAACCAATATACATATATGTATTACAAAATGTTACAATTAAAGGGCACACTCATGAACTAACCCCCAGTTTAAGATGTAGCACATTACTTTTACCTTCGTGACTCTCCTGATTCCATTCCATCCGGTCCTCCTAGTCATTCATTAATTTACCAATTCATTAATTCCATTCTTTCCTTCAAATAATAGTGTCTAATATATAAGCCTGGCACTGTTCTAGGTTCTTGAGAAACTGCCATCAAAATTGCAAGAATCCCTATTCTTGTGTTATGTTCTTATAGGAAATTACAGATAACAAATGCTATAACAAGCAAATTATATAGTTTATTAAAATATGTTTGGTGGTCAGTGTTATTTTTTAAAAGAACAGAGCAGAAGGGATGGAAAGTCTTGGGTATGGGGGGTGGAGGAGGGGACTTGGAATTGTAAATTGGGTGACCAGGGGTCTCTCTGAGAATATGACATTTGAGTAAAAACTTGAAGGTGGAGAGCTGACCAGGGAGATTCCTGACGAAGAGTTGCCCTTGCAAAGGCAGCATCCAGCACAAAGGCCCAAAGGAATGAGCTTCTCAATCCAGTAAAAGGACAGCACGGAGCCAGTGTGGTTGGTGCAGAGTAGTAAGAGAAGAGGTCAGAGAACAGGAAAAGGAGACCAGGTCATATGAGGTGTTCTTGCACAAAAGCATTTGGTTTTATTTTTCATTTTTAAATTTTTATTTAATGATGAAGGAGAGTTCAAAGAGATCAAGTTGTTGTTGTGCCTGTTTAGGCATTCATTGGTTGATTCTTGCATGTGCCCTGACTGGGATCAAACCTGCAACCTTGGCGTATCAGGGCGACTCAACCCAGCCAGGGCACAAAGCCATTTGGTTCTAGTGGGAGTTAAACAAAACCACTGATGGGTTTTGAGCAAGGACTGAGACAATCTGACTTACTGTTTAAGAGAATCAGTCTTGTTGCTGTATTGAAAACAGACTACAGGGGAACAAGGTTGGAAGCAAGATCTTTTCTGTCATAACAACCCAGGGAAGACCTTAAGGTTGTCCCCAACTCTGGTGGCAGCAGTGGAGGTAGTGAGAAGCAGTTTAGATTCTGGGTGTATTTTGAAGGTAGAATCAACAGGGGCCCTTGAGAGATTCTGCATGGGGTGTGAAAGAAGAGTCAGGACCACTGCAAGATTTTTGACCTGAGTAACTGGAAGGACTATAGGTAGAATTAGTTTGGTTGGTGGCAAAGATCAGAAGTTCAGTTCTGGACTTGCTTCTTTTGAGGTATCAGACATCCAAGTGGAGATGTCAAGGAGGTAGTTTGGTGTCCAAGTCTGTTCTGGGTTGAGTATATAAATTTGGGCATAAAGATATTCAGAATCTTAAGAATGGATGACCCTAGAGAATGAATGTATATAGTGGAGAAAGGAAAGAGGACTAAGATTGAGCCATGGAAAAATTATAGTATTAAGAGTTTAGGTGAATACACCACACACACACACCCCCCAAAACAAACAAACAAACAAACAAAGAGTTTAGGGAGAAGAGGGAGAATTAGCAAAGACAGAGAAGTGACCATTGAGGTAACAGGAAAATTAAGAGAATGTAGTGTCCCAGAAACCAAATCAAGAAAAAATAGCAAGTGAGAAAGTATATTAGGTTAGATGAGGACTGAGAATGATTGGATCTAGGCCATTGCCAAGATCATTGATGACCTGAAGACAAGTTTCAGTGCTGTGGTGGGGGGCAAAGCCTGAGTGGCATGGGTTTAAGAGAAAACATGAAGAGCAATTATGGAATAATGTTGGGGGACTATTTGTTATCCCTCCATCTACACACACTGTCTTAATGATTAAATCCTCCCCATTTTGTTCTTCTTCAAGAAGAGTTGTTTGGGGCACTTTGCTCTTGCATGTAAATTTTAACATCCATGAGTCAATTTCCACAAAAGAAAATTCTTTTTTTTACTTTATTTTTATCATTGACACTATTATAGATGTCCCAATCTCCCCCTGACTTTGCCTAACTCCACCCAACCCCCACTTCTCATTCCCTCTGGCTACCACCACACCGTTGTATGTCTGTGGGTTATGCATATACATTAAAAGAGAATTCTTGAATTTTTCTTGAAATTGCATTGAAACTCCACACCAATTGAGTGGGGGTAGAAAGGTTGATATCTGTGTGACAAAGAGTTTATACTATTCATGGCTCATG